GAAGTGACCAGTATAACAGATATAGTAGGTAACCTGGAATTTGCGGACACAATGAAAATAGCAAATATCCAAAGATGTTGTTTTTTAATTTTCCAGGCAAGAATACTGGAGTGGGGTGCCATTTCCTCCTCCAGGGGATCTTCCCAACCCAGGGGCTGGGCTTTTCTTGAGTTTCCTACATTGGCAGGTGGATTCTTTACCACTAGCGCCACCTGGGAAGCCCTAATGTTGGAGCAAGTCCCCAGTTATCCAGGCTAAAGCCTCTTAGGGCATTCAGTCTCTTCCTGTTTTCGTCTATGACCGCTTGTCAGATTCTGTAATGGTCTCTGAGGGCTGTCATTAGAGACTTCTGTGAAGCGTCAACCTCCGCATTTGTATTAGCACTTTTCAACATTTTCCTAAACCGGGCTTTCACCTTCTCGTGTGGGGACTATATCACTGCCTTCCAGCTGGCCCCTTAGTCTTCATCATATGCTTTGACACAAAAATCTACTTGAACATTCTTCGTAATTCATGAGATGGAACAACTTGCTTCCTTCACAAAGATGTTGTTTTTTAAAAAGAATTTGGTAGTTAGTGAAAGAACGAAAATAGTGGAAATTGAGTATTGTGAGAGAAATATGAACCCTTGAAACAGGAACTCTGCTAATAAAAATAGAGACCACTTACACAGTACTTTAAGAGAACACCACAGATCATTTAGTGGTAGAGTCACCATTCAAACCTATGTCTCTCCACACAGAATGTGCTGCATGGTATCATGATACAGGCCTCCTATCCTCCCCAATTAACTCTTGCCTTATATGGCAAGAGTTCCAAAAAAACCATTAAAGAAAGTGAAGTCGCTCAGTCGCATCTGATTCTTTGCAACCCCATGGACTGTTGCCTACCAGGCTCCTCCGTCCATGGGATTTTCCAGGCAAGAATACTGGAGTGGGTTGCCATTTCCTTCTCCAGAGGATCTTTCCAACCCAGGGATTGAACCCAGGTCTCCCACATTGCAGGCAGATGCTTTAGTGTCCGAGCTACCAGGGAAGCCCCAAAAATCCATTACTGATTAGTAATAGTGATTAAAAAAAAAAGGGCCCTGGATCATGATATCCCTTTAACTACAGAGGCTAAAGCTTCCAACTTAGGTAAGAAGATGCTGGAAATTTAAAAAATATCTCTTATATACTTCACTACCATTTATATCTTTCAGTCTATTACAGATGATATTCTTAAACATGTTAAGATGTTTTTCCTTTTTTATTCTTTCTTTATAAGGTCTAACTGTTGTCAACAGAAGGTGTCCATTGTCTGGAAAAGCATCACTACTTTTATGCCAGAAATGAAAAGATAATAAGTCTATACTAAATTTTTAACTCTTAAAATATATTCTTCATTCAGTCATCCATTCAGCAGATAATTTAATTTCAATTATGAGCCAGGTCGTTTCCTGTTCCAATACAGTGATGAACAAACCAGATCTTGAAGCAGAGAGGATCTTAATCTCTCTGCCTCTTCTATCACACTCACCTCCTCCCTATGTGTGGTGTGTGTGAGAGAGAGAAAGAGAAATAAAGCTAAGTTCTATTGAGGAAAAAGTGTTTTCTATGTTCTCTTTCCACATTAAGAGTCAGTCCAGCATGAATATAGGCTATAAAGTTTTATAATAATTCATGGTGTAGAAAGGAAGAATTACATGCACAAAGAAAGCTTTCAGCAGTCAAAATGAGAAGAAAAGAAAAAGTTTTGCACTACTAAGAAAGAGTGAGAGAAAGAACAGGACAAAGCTGTCCTGGGATCTTAAGTTGAGGGTGAAGTGAAAGTGAAAATGTTAGTCGCCCAGTCGTGTCTGACTCTGTGACTCCATGGATATAGCCCACCAGGCTCCTCTGTCCATGGGGATTTTCCAGGCAAGAATTCTGGAGTGGGTAGCCATTCCATTCTCCAGGGGATCTTCCTCACCCAGGGACTGAACGTGGATCTCCTGCATTGCGGGCAGATTCTTTACTATCTGAGCCACCAGGGAAGAGAAGTTGAGGGCAGGTGGTGAAAACAAATGAAGAGTTTGTGAAGGAAGTGCCAGCATAGAGCTTCGCCTTCTTAGGATGGAGAGGAAAATGGTAAACCTCTTAGAAAATCTCTGTCTTCAGTATGGCATTACTTATGTCTAGATAAGTAGTTAGGTCCAGTGATTATTAATACTTATGTCCAGTAAGATCTAAGGGCTCTTCCACTGGAGCTAAGGAACGGTGTGGAAGCCACCTTCCAATCCTGCACACTACAGATCGGTTCAGAGCTACCTGAGGGTTGAGACAGACATGCTAAGAGATCCAGAACACTAGAATAAATCTGAGGTTGGATCAAGGCTAAAATAGAAAATAAAAACCTTGCAACTGGAAGCTATAATGGCGGGGGTGGGGGGGGAGGCCCAGAATGGTACCCAACAGTCAAATGAGATGAGTCACAATATCCCAGACTTGAGATCCCCTCATCCTACTTTCCGTGGTCTCTCCTATACCTACAATCCATCTTAGGAAGTAGACAGAAATGGGACACCCCCTGAAAGAAGAGAGAAAAAAGTACTACTGGGGAGTTGAACTCAACACAGCATGATCACTATACAGAGTAATGATACCGTTTATCAGAGTAGGACTGGAAACCCAACCAGAAAAGTCTTGAATCTCATTAACTTTTTTCACTTTCAGTTTTTTTCTAACTCAGCAAAACAGTGTCATAATCTGAGTCATTACCTTTGATTCAAAAATCCAGAAGTCATCATTGATTCCATTGATTTCTCTTTCTTTTCATTCCCATAGCCAATCTATCACTGGGTCCAAGCAACTTTTCTTCCTAAGTGTAATAAAAAGTTGCCACTTCTCTCTTCCATCCAAGGATCATCTATAGCCCAGATTACTAAAATAATCTCCCACCTGATACCCCTACTCTTTACAGCATCGAACCTTGCTTCCATCACCAGTCACATCCACAACTGGGTATTGTTTTTGCTTTGGCTCCATCCCTTCATTCTTTCTGGAGTTATTTCTCCACTGATCTCCAGTAGCATATTGGGCACCTACTGACCTGGGGAGTTCATCTTTCAGTGTACTATCTTTTTGCCTTTTCATACTGTTCATGGGGTTCACAAGGCAAGAATACTGAAGTGGTTTGCATTCCCTTCTCCAGTGGACCACATTCTGTCAGACCTCTCCACCATGTCCCGTTCATCTTGGGTGGCCCCACACGGCATGGCTTAGTTACATTGAGTTAGACAGGACTGTGGTCCTGTGATCAGATTGGCTAGTTGTCTGTAATTGTGGTTTCAGTCTGTCTGGCCTCTGATGCTGAAGTTGAGACTCCAATACTTTGGCCACCTGATGCGAAGAGCTGACTCATTTGAAAAGACCCTGATGTCAGGAAAGATTGAAGGCAGGAGGAGAGAGATGACAGAGGATGAGATGGTTGGATGGCATCACCGACTCAATGGACATGGGTTTGGGTGGACTCCGGGAGTTGGTGATGGACAGGGAGGCCTGGCGTGCTGCAGTTCATGGGGTCACAGAGAGTCGGACACGACTGAGCGACTGAACTGAATATCCCTGCTAGCATGTTTCCCTCTACAATTCTTTCTGCATAAAGTACCCAAAGGGCTTGGAATTCTTTAATAATTCCCATTAAAACTGAAATGAAAACCAAATCCTTATGATGGCTTAACTCCTGACCTCTGCCAGCGTCCTCCTCTCCAGTATAACTCTCCTCTGTCTCCATCTGTAGCAACACCGACCTCCTCTACAGTTTTCAAAACAAATGTGTTTCCTCACAGAGCCTATGCACTTGGTATTCCTTCCTCCTGCAGATCCTGACTTGACAAGAAGTTCCTTCTTGTTCAGATCACAAGTAAAGGCCATATATTCTTTTGGAAGCATACTATCAAAAGTAACCCTCTTTCCTCTGATTCCTCCTCTTTTGTTTATTTATGAGTATATAATCCACTTATCTCTTTAGAATGTAAGCTCCTTGATGGCACGGGTCTTATGTCTTGTTCACAGGTACATAGCTACTTTATCAATATTATTGAATGAAGAAATGAAACACTGAACTGATAAATGAAGGAGTAGGGTAATAGAGGGGAATGGTTACCTTGTCTCACTGCTACTCCTCCTATTATCATCCCTCATGCCACTCCTACTTGTGCCAAAGAGTAAGCAAAGGAACTTGGAATCAGGCAATGAAGAATACAGGAAAGGTAGTCCTAAGCAGCAGTATGCAAAGGGTTTAAAGAGGGATTGAGGAGTGCGGGGTGGGGGAGTCTTAATTTAGGAAGGAGAAGAGTAGACTTCTTAAAGGCATCATACATAGCCTCTCACTCAATGCTGAACCTTCCAAGTAAGAAATATAAAAGAAGAAATGTCTATATTCTACAAAGCATTATGTAAATTGCATTTTCAAAGTTGAAATATTTAAAACACATTAGAAAATATGTTATATCATTTGTGAATCCTTTTTCCAGGGTTTATAGCAGAATAGGCAAGTAGGGTAAAGGTGATCAGTAAAAAATAAATACACTGCTTACATTTCAGTGGACAACTGACCTTAAATAACAGAGTTCTGGAGAAATATCTTTTAGTTAAATTTTAGTTTAAAATATTCTGCTCAAGAAAACATAAAAGGAGAATGACATAGAGAATATTGGAGTAATATTCTGAAAGCTTTTCACATATAATTACAGTTGTAGTCAATGAGCAATCCATGACTCTGAAGAGCAGGATTCTAGTGTAATTACACATAATACATTTATTTTGTTTTTATTACAAAATTCACATTATTTTACTATGCTTGGACCTCCACATAATATGGGAAAAAGTTGTTTCTTAATAAAAGCATATAAACTAACCTATTAATAATCAGATTTCTAATGTAGCTTCACAATCTGAAATTTTAAAACTGCATTCCTATTATGTTACAGATTAATACTTGTTCTCAGAACTATTTCCAAAAAAGAAAAAAATTCTTACCAGACATAAACTGTGTAATAGAGGATAATTCCATTTGGCTCCAGGGGTGGTTGCCATGACAACTTCACCATGACACCAGACAACTGTTTTACAGAGAAGTATTGTGGGGGAGAATCAGGAGCTGAAAAGTTAGGGTATAAGATAATGTATTAATATTTTATTAAACATACATAAGAAGCAGCTAAAATAGAAGTGCACAAAATTTTTATTTTGAACTTTCTGGTGAATGAATTGGGTACAGGGCCTTTCTCCATGGGCTTAAGAGGCTGTTTACTTTCAAAATGAGATGATAAAAGAAGATTTTGCATGGTGGTGTTAGAACATCTGTTTCTGTGATTCAATGGAAAAAAATATTTCATGAGAAAAAAAGAACAAGGGTTATGACACTATGATTCACCTACCATTCAAGTATATCTTGGTAAATTATCATCCTCCAATAAAAATAAAATTACTGGGGTGAGTAAATATACAAGAAAAGAACTCCCCAAACAATAAAAAGAATTGGGGAAAAAAATCACACATCCAAGAAGCAGTAAAGTGATAAGCATAACACTGTGAGAGGAAATGACTGACCTCACAAATGAAAACTATACTCCTCAATTTCATTTGTGTCATTAAACTGCAAAATAGCATCAAAATCTGTTCACTAAATCTTCAAAACTGAATGGTTTACAAAGGAAATGCCAATGTAGCACATAAGCAAGTAAACAGACAATTTTAGGGTCTATTTCTAATTGTGCTATATAGTGTAAGGATTCAAATATTTCAGCCTTTCTGCATTGAATAAACACTAAAAGAATACTGTAAACTAATTATCAAGTATATATTTCAACTTAGATAAAACATTTAGAATGTCATTTCTCAGTTGCTATATAATAGCAGAATAATGTCTTAAAACATTAATGATTTTTTCATGTAAAGGGGTATAAATTACTACAATTTTGATCACTGTTTTAGTTATACATGGAGACTGAACTCACACCTAGTAGAAATTCTGAGGGTTAGTGCAGATTTCTTTAAACAGTTTAAATTTATAGATTAGTATTGTGCAGATCACTTTTTTCCAGTAATTTGAAGATGCTGCTTGAATTATATTTTCTTTCTGACTTTTGGGGTCATTCTAACTAAAATGTATGTGTACACATACATGTGTGTTTTCATTATTTTGATAATAAAAATTTTTCAAAAAAGAGTTTATTGAGTAGAGAAAAGCTTTATGAAATAAATTCCACAAAATAACAGTAGCAGCTGTATTTATGTTTTCAGTTGGTATTCTCGCTGGCACCACAATAAAAATGCTATCAAACCTGATTATCACAGAATCCATATATCATGTGGAGGTGTTTGTTTCCCAAGATATGAATTACCTCTAACTGAGAACTTTCTTTCATTTGTTAAAACAAAACGCTATAATATTTTTCTGAATATCACTTTTATTATTGGAAAAAAAAAGAATTTTAATCAGAACTAGCACTGATACAGAACATTGTATGTTGTAACTAAGCATTTCTCTTTGATAATGTGCTTTATGCTTTAAAATGTTTATGTAGAATATCAACTCCTGTTTTTTTATATTTAATCTTCAATATATTCTTGAGTAGTTTCTTTTTTATGTCACACTTTTTATTACTAAAAAAGTGTGATTAACATGACTTTTAAAGTAAAATATTGCATATCTACTATATCAGACAAAGTTTTAACCATTTTAACATCTGTCAAAATTACTTTTGCACTCTTCAGAAATAGCTCAGTTGGTAAAGAATCCGCCTGCAATGCAGGAGACCCGGGTTCAATTCCTGGGTCAGGAAGATCCACTGGAGAAGGGATAGGCTACCCACTCCAGTCTTCTTGCGCTTCCTTTGTGGCTCAGCTGGTAAAGAATCTGCCTGCAATGCGGGAGACCTGGGTTCAATCCCTGGGTTAGGAAGATCCCCTGGAGAACGGAAAGGCTACCCACTCCAGTATTCTGGTCTGGAGAATACCATGGAGAGTCGGACTCAACTGAGTGACTTTCACCTCAGATATGCAATTTAAAAAATGAAATTGGAAAAACTAGAATAAATAAATGCAATGTCTTTTGCAATCTATCCAACTCATCATGACAGAGATATGAGTATAGATAAGAAGGGTCTTCATAAGGCTCTTACTTTCTCTGCTTGGCACAATCATTCCTATCCTTAACCCTCCCTCTACTAATCTTGCTTCAGGTCAGAGCTTAAACACAACTTAATCTGCTACATTTTCCTGGACGCCTCAGAGTAGCTAAAGTTCTTTTTTTTGTCCTGGTGAACATTTATGCCAGTAATTATAATTATAAAAATTATTTGTCTACACATTTGTCAAATTTAGACCTCTTCTAAAGAAGGTAAGGAGTTCCTAATACCCAACAATAAGCAAAACTTTTCATGCCTTTATCCATTCTAGATTTGCTGTAATTTTTCTATAAGGGGATTTTGTTCTTTACCCTGTTTGTTAGCAATTATGTCAATGACTGAGCCAAGGACTTAGGTGGGTGTTTACCATGATTTCATATTTTGAATAGCCCAGGTATAATTTGAAACTATTGACTTGAACAGTAATAAACTCTGACTGCTCAAAATAATAACATATGTTGTCTACTGGTCTAGGTTCCTTCATAAACAACCTCAAATTCTTACTACATGGGCTATTTAATTAGATTAGAAATTAAGAAGCAGGTACTACATCTAGTAGGGCATTGCTAAAATGATCTAGTTAAAATGCTAAAATGTATCTGAGCCATTATCTAAGATAGAAAACAATCTAACCTTCTACCCTAGCCTTTAATCACTGTCCCACTGTCCCATTTATTTGGTAAACTTTCACTTTGAGAGCAAGAAAAATTATCTATGAAAAAATGAAAATTTGGACAGGTAAGTTCTGCTGAAGAAACAAGCATAGGAAGCAGAAGCAATACTGAGGAAGACTAACCCATGAGAAGACGCAGAAACTGGGGCACGTGGTGAATGACCGGAATCTGAACATCCACAAAGCACAGTTCAATGGGAAGATGGGGAAAGCTTGAGAGTGTGAAAAAAGATATTCTACAAACACATGTTACATCCAGAACTATTCCTCCTGGCAATGGGACTTACTTTTGCAGATAAAGAAGAATATTCTCAAAATATACAATGTAAGAAACATAAAAGGCAAATCCAAATCCAAAACACATCTCTCAAAAGTAATTTTCATTTTAGCATGATATATGCCTACAACTTGGTGAAGTAGCATTGTAAAGTGGTCTCAGTAGTAAAGTTGATTTTATTCAAGTGAGGAAAGGTGAGCTTAAAAGTTGAAAATGGAGGCTATTAACATTCAGGAATGTTGGCATCTTGGCAAATCATGGAGAGAAATCTGGTAAATAGCCTGAACTCATTAGCAAGCTAATCTTAATAACATCAAAAATGCTGCAGGCCCTTGCTGATCTCAACACCTTGTCTCAGATTCATTGACTTACTGTGTGGTGAGCAGAACGAGTTTGGACTCCATAAAAGTCACCCTGGACATGAAATGACACATGCATGTAATATACCTGGCACAGGATAAAGGTTATGAGTTCTGTTCCCCTGGGATGCTTTTGATTTTAAAAGCAACAGATTAAAAATCAACTTAAGGAGAGAACAAGATGGCGGAGGAGTAGGTGGACGTGGAGTACATCTCTCTCCACAGATACACCAGGAATACACCTTCAGACACAGAAGTCCATGTAGAACACCAGCCAAGAGTAGACAGGAGTACCTGACCAGTGGAAAAGAATATACAGAACCAGGCAAAACTTGGTAGGACGAAGGAACTAGAGGGGAAAAGAGTTTTAGTAGGACTGGACCTGCCCTCAGTCGGTGGGGGAGCTGAAGCAGGGGTCCAATCCCCACATCGGGGCAACTGTCTGAGTCAGAGGAAAAACATATAAGTCTGAAAGAGAAACAGTTGATCTGTGGCAGCCTAAATGGAATGAGAATTAGACAGTCCTTCCCACAGTCACATACACCCCAAACAAGGGGTCACATACACCCTTCCAGGTCACCTGGAAGGCACAATGGCTGGGAGCTGGAGTTTAGGGATTGTGGAGCAATCCCAGGGCGAGGGCTGCTATTGACTGTGGAGAGACGGATTGGGGGGATGTGAGGGAGGAGACTGTGGTGGGAAATGCCTGTGGAGGAAAGCCAGGCAACCATGGAAGCAAGGCGATACTGCTGAGTCACACCTAGAGGGTAGAGCCATCACCATAGCCTCTCTCTCCCCACACGCCAGCATAGGCAGCTGAAGAATAAAGAGGCTTGCCCATCAAGAGCCTGACCCACTGGAGTACAGAGCAGGAGCCCACCCAGGGTGCCCCTTTATGTGCCTCACGCACCAATCTACAAAGTAGGACCCCAGCCAGGACAGCCCCTCCATGTGCCTGATGCGCGGAACCACAGAGAAGGACCCCAGGTAAGGGAGCCCTCTAAGTGCCTGAAGGGGCAGAGCTATGGAGAAAGACTGGTCAAAGAGGCCTTCTGATCGCCAGCTACAAGAGGCTTGAAAAGACTCTGATAGGGCCATAACTCCTGGGGTGGAAGCAGTCTGTGTCCCTGCACACTTTGCGCCACCCAGGTCCCCACAAGCCAAGCAGCTGCACCACCTTCATGCTCAACTGTCACTAGGGCAGAGCTACCACAGGGCGGTGGAAAAAATCTTGCATCTATGCACACTGGGTTGCATTGGTCACGTCCAGCTCTTTGTGACCCTATAGACTGTGGCCTCCCAGGCTTCTCTGTTGGGGGTTTCTGCAGGCAAGAATACTGTAGCATATTGGCCAATACTAGTTGCAATACCCTTCTAGACCACTACATTTCCTGCTTCCCTAGCCACCAACTCCCCTGAGTACGTGGTGCTGCCAGAACCCCTGTGACTCAAGCAGCTGCACCACCTCCACACCTGGCCCTCACAGGGGTAAACCCAAGCCCTCCAGGGCAGCCTCGGGAACAAACCCCAGTGTGTGACCCATATGCAAAGGTGGAAATAAAATCACAGTTGAAACCACAGTGGCTAAGGAAGAAGACCCAAAACCTTCCCACCAGCTGTATAAGCTGCAGATTAAATCCACACGATCAACTAGGCGGACCCTGTGTCTATGGAATATATAAAGGTCACTGAGAGCTCCCTCAAAAGAAAATGCACTAGTTCTGAGAGCTGTGGACATGGGAGGCAAGAACACACACAGTAGGACCAAAATTAGAACCTGAGCTGCCCCGACAATAAGTCCAATGGCAATGTTACAGGGCATCCTAGGGAGGTGAGCTGGACTGTGACTCCCAGCGAGGGAAAGGACTCTGACAGCAGTGACTCAAGAGAAACATTTATTTTTCTTGTGTTTTGACTTGTCCTGTAGATTCTTTTGGATTTTTTTTTCTTTTCTTTTTCCTCCCTCTGTTGTAGTTGTGGATTTTATTGGCACTATGAAATCTAATTAAGCATTTAAATGTTTTCTTTTTCTCAGTCACATTTTTTATTTTTGTTATAAACCTCTGCCTCTACATTGGGCTTTTGCAGTTCTGTGGAGTTTCCCTTTTTTTTTTTCTCTTTATTTAATTTTAATTTTTAGTTTTTAAAACATAAANTTTTCTGTTTTGCATATAGGGTTATCGTTACCATCTTTTTAAATTCCATATATATGCGTTAGTATACTGTATTGGTCTTTATCTTTCTGGCTTTTGTTCTGTGGAAAATGTACCCCCATCCCAGACTATTACACCTCCTCTTTCAAGTCGCATTGTAAATGAAGTCTCTTAGGTGAAGCTTTGCTGGGCATCCCAGCCCATCCCTGGATGCTACCTCTTCTGTGCTCCAGGAACACTACACTAACCTCTAGTGTTTTTTAATCACTCTGCGTTCCGAGCATACACTTCTCTGTCTGTCTCCCACTAGAATACGAGCTCTGGAATCCCAAAACTTAAAAAAAGTGGGTTGACCCAATGCGTGGATTAAAATGGAAAAAGTAGACAGAAAGACATGTAATGTGCTTCAGTCATTTGGGGGCTTAGTTATTATTGTGGAAAGATGATTATGTTATGAGATAAGCTTCAGGCTAAAAAAGACAACCCTTCTTTCTGTGTTGGAATGTTCTGAAGGAGTCAGTACCAGATCACCCACCTCTTCCATCCATTTATCCTTTCATCATATATTATGGCACAAAGTTATATTGGACATCTAAGGTCTGGATGCAGGAAGAGATGACTTTCAAATGTATTAAATTTGTAAGTATATTATCTAATATGCGTCATGTTGCAGATCAAATGAGTTCTGATACATGATATATTCAGAGTTAAGTTTGAACTGCTAAAAAAAAATCAAGTTAAATCAAATTTAAAAAAAAAATAGAACAACTAGGAATAAAACCACCATATGACCCAGCAATCCTTCTCCTAGGCATATACCCTGAGGAAACCAAAAGTGAAAGAGACACATGTATCCCACTGTTCACTGCAGCACTATTTACAATAGCTGGAACATGGAAGCAACCTAGATGCCCATCAACAGATGAATGGATAAAGAATTTGTGGTACATATACACAATGGAATATTACTCAGCCATAAAAAGGAATGCATTTGAGTCAGTTCTGATGAAGTGGATGAACCTAGAACCTATTATACAGAGTGAAGTGAGTCAGAAAGAGAAAGGTAAATATTCTAACACATATATATGGAATTTAGAAGAATGGTACTGAAGAACTTATTTATAGGGCAGCAATGGAGAAACAGACATGGTGAATAGACTTATGGACATGGGGAGAGGGGAGGAGCGGGTGAGATATACGAAAGAGTAACATGGAAACTTACATTACCGTAAGTAAAAAAGAAAGCCAATGTGAATTTGCTGTGTGGCTCAGGAAACTCAAACAGGGCTCTGTATCAACCTAGAGGGGTGTGGTGGGGTGGGAAGGGAGACGGGAGGGAGGTTCTAAAGGGAGGGGATATATGTACACCTATGGCCGATTCATGTTGAGGTTTGACAGAAAACAGCAAAATTCTTAAAGCAATTATCCTTCAATAAAAAAATAAATTTAAAAAATGCTGCAGGTTGACATAACAGAATCCACTACAAAACTTATTAATTAATGTCTATTCTTGTGAATGTTAAAAGTGAAAAACATGGTCATAACATACCCAGATTAATGTTCAAGCTATTTGCACCAAAATTTTAGCCTTAATAATTCCCATGGGAAAAAAATTACTGATTTTTTACAGAATATGAATGACTTAAGAATAAAAAATGCATTTTATACCTGATTTTACTGAACATAAATATAACTTTGCAAGCTTCATTTGCTTGAAATCTCCATATAAAGCTGATGCAGCACATAAGTGCTACTCAAGGCAAAGAGAATTCTTATATTATAATCTTCATTTTATATACATGTTTTTTGAAACATGACAGATTAAAAATTTATCAACTAGTCACTGCTATACTTACCATCTTCTTCAGTAAGCACACTTATGGGTGCACTCCGAATTCCTTCACCTTTGAGTGTACTAGCTGACACCTCAATTGTATACTGTGCGTACTTCTTCAGTCCTAAACAGAAATAAGATAGATAAGACTTACAAAATAACCTTTAAATATACGCAAGAAACAAACTATGAAATGTTTCTTAACAACCTTCCAAAAGGAAAAACTAAGTGAAAATGTAGTTCTTGGAATAGCAACTCATCTTATGAAGACAAAACTATATAGAAATATGTGGGAAAGAACTGAGAGTGTTCTTTCATGTGATCTGCAATAAACTTCTACGTTATTGAACCAAAGAGCCAGAACTGTCACACTCTGTATAAATTACACTCAGCACTTACAACAACAAGCCAATGTTTTGTGGTCACTCAGACAAAATAAATGTGAATATCCAACATTATATTTTTTTACCTTTAATATTCTGAGTCAAAGAAGTTGTATTTATCACTCTTTCCTCATTTCCATTACTTTTCATTAGATAAATTGTATATGTTTTTATAATTCCATTGGGACTACTTGGAGGTAGAAATGACAGCTCAATCTCTCCAGAGGTAATATTTTTGTAAGTAATATTTTCTGGTGCACTATCAGGCACTGAAAACAAACAAACAAAAAATGTATATACAGCATAAACAGTTCTACGCTTATAATGTATTCTGCTGATGTTTTCACCCCAATGGTCTAGGAAACACACACATACACACACTTGTTAAGTCACTTCAGTCATGTGGCCCCAGGGACTGTAGCCTGCCAGGCTCCTCTGTCCATGGGATTCTCCAGGCAAGAATACTAGAGTGCGTAGCCATGCCCTCCTCCAGGAGATCTTCCCAACCCAGGGATCAAACCTGTGTCTCCTGTGGCTCCTGCATTACAGGTGGATTCTTACCATTGACCCACCAGGAAAGCCCATACATACATACATACACACACACACACACACACACACACACATATCAGAACATTCACTAGAATGCAATTATAATAAATATCCTAAATGTAGAAAAATATGGATAAGTTATACCACTTGCAACTGTGCAAGAAAAATTTCATCTCAAAGAAAATTCATACAACTCTACGAATAATGTTTATTGGATGATATTTTTTATCAAAATACTTGAGACTAAACTTCTTACTGTGCAGAACATGCAGATACAGTGGTCCCATGGTACATGCAGGGAAATGGTTCCAGGGTCCCCATGCCCCCACCCCTTTCATGGATACGAAACTCCAAAGATGCTCAAGCTCCTTACATAAAACTGCACAGTATTTGCAAAGAACCTAACGACATCTTCCTGTATACCTTAAATCATCTCTAGATTATTTATAATACCTAAAACAATGGAAATACTATGTAAATAATTGTAAATACAATGGAAATGCTATGTAAATAGTTGCCTGCCAGCATGCAGGAAATTTAAGTTTTGCTTTTTGGAACTTTTTTTCTACAACTTGTTTTCAAATACTTTCAATGCACAGTTGGTTGAATCTGTGGATTCAGGGCCCACAGATACAGGCTAACTGTATAAGGAGAAATTGAAAACACTTAAAAATTGATACTGCATTTCATTAATAATAACATATAAATGGTTAATAGATTAGTTTTGATATACAACATGATCTATGACAAGGCAAGGATCCTATCCTAGATAAAAGGAAAGGATATAATAACCTGGTGTAATAACCTGCATATAATAACCTGGTAACAAAACAGTCTCCTAAGGATGTGTGTGCTTAGTCACTCAGTCTTGTCTGTCTCTTTGTGACTTCCTAAGCTGTAGCCCGCCAGTCTTCTCTGTTCATGGGATTTTCCAGGCAAGAATACTGGACGGATTGCCATTTTCTTCCCTGTCAGGGATCAAACCTTCATTTCTTGTTTCTCTTGCATTGCAGGTGGTTTCTTTACTCATTGAGCCATCAGGGAAGCCCCAGGATACAATTTATCAATAAATAAAACACCAGTTTCCTGTATCTACTAATGCTTTTATTATACTGAATGCAATGGCCACAAAATGGTTCTCTACATATATTCAACTACTAATACTACACGTGGGATTCCAATTCTAGAAAAGTGGATATTGGAAAAGCGACACTAAATTGAATGATCATTATAATTAAAAGGAGTAAAACTTCATATAAAATTAACCTTTTTCTTGTAAGGAATTGCAGAGCTGGCAAAGAAGTCAGAAATCTATGGTGGACCAAAAACAAATACAAAAAAACAAACAAAAATAAAATAAACAAAAAAAAACAAAGTAAAAATAGGAGTCCTGATGTGAAAGCTGGAACAAAAGCCTGCTCTGACTCACTAGGTAACAGTCAATCCCGGTGACTCTGAGTTTCTGTATTAACTGCTGTGTGGAGACCCAGAAAAAGAAGAGAAAACCTTGGGCCAGTAGAAGGGTAAAAAATACCCCTGCACCAAGTGGTGGGTCTCCAAAGAATGCAATTCCAGCAAGACCCATGATACGGGCCAATTATGGGGGCACTCTGAATTCTTCAGCAGATTGCCAAAGAATTGAATGTGAGTGGTTCTTCCTAGACTTGTGTAATGTGGTACGTTCACTCTCACAGAACAAGGAGTGAGAAGGAAACCTACTAAGTAAAAGAGGACAGAAAAGTAAGTTTTTTCCGCTTATCGTGCCTCTGGATGGAGCGGTGGAATATAAAAAATGAAAAATAAGACTATGCATTGTTGGAACTGTAAGCCTATCCCTATGAGCATACGTGGCCCAAATTCATGGAACATGTATAATCACTTAGAACCAGACACGGAACAATGGACTGATTCAAAATCGGGAACAGAGTATGTCAAAGTTGTATAATGTTACCCTGCTTATTTAACTTAGATGCAGAGTACATCGTGTGAATGCTGGGCTGGAACCAAGACTGCCAAGAGAAATATTAATAATCTCAGGTATCCATTTTACACCAGCCTAGTGGCAGAAAGCAAAGAAGAATTAAAGATCCTCTTGATGAAGGTGAAAGAGGAGAGTGAAAAAGCTGGCTTAAAACTCAACATTCAAAAAAACGAAGATTATGGCATCTGGTCCCATCACTTCATGGCAAATAGATGGGGAAACAATGGAAACAATGACAGGCTTTATTTTCTTGGGCTCCAAAATCATTGTGGACAGTGGCTGCAGCCATGAAATTGAAAGACACTTGGTCTTTGGAAGAAAAGTTATGACAAATCTAGACAGCATATTAAAAAACAGAGACATTACTTTGCCAACAAAGATCTATATAGTCAAAGCTATGGTTTTTCCAATAGTCATGCATAGGTGCGAGAGCTATACAATAAAAAAGGATGCTGGTGGGATTTAGTTGTTAGGTCATGTCTGACTCTTGCAACCCCATGGACTGTAGCCTGCCAGGTTCTTCTGTCCATGGGATTCTCCATGCAAGAATACTGGAGGGGGTTGCCATTTCCTTCTTCAGGGGATCTTCCTGACCCAGGAATCAAATCCAGGTCTCCCACATTGCAGGAGATTCTTTGCCTACTGAAGACTGTTTACATTTACCATTGCATATGCTTTACCAACTAAGCTACAAGTGAAGCCCAAAAAAGGACGAGTGCCAAAGAATTGAGGCCTTCAAACTGTAGCACTGGAAAAGACTCTTGAGAATCCCTTGGACAGCAAGGAGATTGAACCAGTCAATCCTAAAGGAAATCAACCCTGAATATTCATTGGAAGGACTGATGCTGAAGCTCCAATANGATTATATATAATATATACATACATACACACACACACACACACACACACACACATATATATATATATATATATATATATATATATTATCATTGCCAATACTTGTAATGCCATTACAAGTTCTTTTCCTTCAAGAGAAAGAATTCAACCTTTTACTGGTATTCTAAATACAATGGATATAAATATGCTACTAATAAATTTAGTAAAGAAAATTCAGAAGCCTTGAAAATATAGAAAATACCCCTCACCCCCACTGTTACCTGTTATGGAATGTATTGCATCTAAGGCAGACTTAACAGGGAAAACTTACATAAAAATGCTGACATTTCCAAAACTTTGGGAAGAACTTTAATTTGATGCACAGCTTGATATAACAATATAATCCTACAATCCCTCGAAAATACTCAAAATCTTCCCTAATATCTTCCTAAACCAACACATAAAATTGAGAAAAATCCTCATCAAGTACTCTGCTTCCTTAACCTTCTGGCTCTAAGTGAAATCTCAAAACTGCTTGAGAATGCTACAACATAGTACTCTTGTGTTGGTAGCTATTTGTTTTTCTCTCATCATCTCTGTAACAGTAGGGCCTAGAACCCTTTCCATATCGAAATCTGTTCTTTCCCCTTCCTAAAAAACTCTAGGTGTTACCCCTCCTTTAAGACAATCATCCAGTGGTTCTCTGCCATTTCTCCAAACATCTTAAAAATGCAATCACCTGACAACTGACCTCCTGTCTAGCACTGTAAGATGTCAAATTGATGGAAATAACCTGTGTAATTCCCTAGACTCTGTATTCCTTGAACTCCACAATTCCAGTGTTTTTTCCCTCCACCTCACTCTAACCAGTAGCCTTCACGGCAACACCTGAGACCTTCATGACCAATAACTGCCAATATTCCTCTCTTTGGCAACTATCTACGTCTTCAGTTGACTGACCACTATATCGTCAATTCAACAAGTCACTGACCCTCATCAAGTCTTTACTGTCCATCACCACTCTTAATGTCCTCATCTCCCTGCTTACTCAGGTCAGACAGTCTATCACTAAAATCACTCCCTAGCAATCTCCATCAACTCCTTTTTCTATCTTTTCTGGCAAAATTTCAACGTTGGTTAAACTGAACTCAGGGCTAGTCTACCTCCACAATGCGATAGGTGAACATGTCTGAATAAAATACCACTCCATGCTGACTAGCCTTACTTTAATTTATAACCTCAAATCTCAATCTTTTTCCATCACTTGGCAGTCTATCTATGTTTCAGTTAAATCAGTCTTTTAAGCTGTTATGCTTGTTTTCATCATCTTCCTCTCCATAAACATCCAGTATCTTTTCCCCCTTTTTATTCAAACCTGATAAACCTGCTTCTAATTTCGAGAAAATAAAAACAGTCAAAGAGGACTATATATTTTCCTACCACTCATCTTCAAATGCCTTCTTATCTAAAACCTAGTCCACTTCTACACTAAATTCCATTCCATCTACCTAGTTAGACTTTAGACTTGACATTTTTTCCTCTCTGTTGTATTTTTAGTTTTTCTCTCATCACTGAATTATTTCTATCATGATATATACATTGTATGGGGCTTCCCTGGTAGCTCAGCAGGTAAAGAATCTGCCTATAAGCAGACCCTGGTCCTATCCCCTAGGTTGGGAAGATCCCCTGGAGGAGGGCATGGCAACCCACACCAGTATTCTTGCCTGGAGAATCCCCATGGACTGAGGAGCCTGGTGGGCTACAGTCTATGGAGTTGCAAAGAGTCGGACATTCCTGAGTGCCTAAGCACACATACACACACACACATCGTATACAAGTGAACACACATCAGTTATTGCTCTATTCTGTCCTCCACTCTATATCCACATTTCTCAAATTTTGCCTTTACCCATTTTCTCCACTTTCTTGCCTATCATGCTCTTTTAGTCCCACTTCAGTTAGGCATTTTCTCCTCATTTTTAACCATGAAACGCACTGTCATGGTGTCATCAATGACCTTCATCTTGCCAAACCACTAATCAATCGTGTGCCATTACTTCAGTCAGGGGCTTCCCTCGTGATTCAGTGATCAAGAGTCTGCTTGCGATGCAGGAGATGCAAGTTCGATCCCTGGGTCAGGAAGATCCTCTGGAGAAGGAAATGGCAACCCACTGCAACACTCTTGACTGGGAAATCTCATGGACAGAGAGGAGCCTGTCAAGCTACAGTCCATGAGGTAGCGAGTCAGACACGACTCAGTGACTAAACCACCTTCATTTCCCTCTCAGCAGCACTTGACGTAGGAAACAAATTGCTTCTAATTTAAAATATCTGTTCATTAGACTTCCAAAACAAGACCTTCTCCTGACTTTCCTCTGACCTCACTGGCCACACTCCTGCTTAGTCCTTGACTGGCTCCTCCTCGGCTTCCCAAAGTCTCCATGTCCTATCACCTGAGGACATAGCGGTATGCTTCTTTTCAACTCTGTCTGCACTCACCCGACATATGGTGATGCTTTTAGATTGTATATTCAACCCTGGATCCTTTCCATGAGTTTTAAATTTACATGCCCAATTGCCTTCACGACAGGCACTTGAGTATTTCAAACATGTTCAAAACATGAACTCCTAAGATTTCTCCAACCTGATCTCCTCCGCAGACTTCCTCATTTCAGTAAATGGCACCTCATTCACCAAGATGCTTAGGCCAAAAACCTAACAGTAACTCTTGAGTTTCCTCTTTATTCCCACATCCAATATATCCAGAAGCAATCTTCTAAAACTGCAAAACATATCAAATTGTCATCGCCTAATTCTCCAATAGCTTCACATTAAAATTAAATATCACATTCCTTAGTATGGCACCCACGAAGGCATGGCCCACCTCTGCCTCTCTCTCTCCCTCCTCATCTGCTAATTCTATCCTGTAGCTCACACTGCTCAAATGAGAGGAACGGTCTCCTCTTCCTCAGACACATCAAGTGCCTTCCCTCTTCAGGAACTTGGTAATTGCTATTCCTCCTCTGGAACATTTTCTTCCTTATCCTCATCTACATAAATCTCACACATTACTAATATCTCTAGGCAAATATAACCTCCTCAGGGAGGCCTTTTCTCAGTCTTCCATCTCAAATTGCCTGCTCATTCTTCTATAACTCTCTTTTCTTTTCCTGATTTTTTTTCAAGGAATTTGCCAGTATCAAAAATTATATATATTATTTGTTTACTAGTTTATCTTCTCTGACCCTTCTAGAATATTAAGTTCCAGAAAGACAGAAATCCTGCCTTATTTACTGCTTAACTATAGTGCCTGGTTCAGTGGTAGTACGTGATATGGAATCCATACAAAGTTTATTCAGTGAATGAAAACCTATGCTCAAGGTGGTACAGAATATATTTAAAACAAAGGAGAAATTTACATCTAAGGAAAGTAAACTTACAGCTAAGGAAAGTAATTTACATCTAAGTAAGTGATATTGAATTGAATACCTCTTTAATTGCAAGGGAAAAAAGGAATTAGTGATGCTCACTTGAATTTTATAAATCAGTATAACTCGTGATTTTGAAAATTTTTCATTGGAATTCACTAACTCATCCCTGTGGATTTACCTGCCTACCACCAGCAGTCAGGATATAAACATGCAGCCCTGACCCCAGGCTTATATCCTATGCATTTTTATTCATTTCTCCTTAGGGGATAACCCATGCTGAATCTTCAGGGAAAATAAAGCAAGACAGATTTAATGACTTGGTGATTTTGAAGAGTAATCACATATTTAAATTTTTCTGAAATAGCATGGTGCTTCCAATTGTAGAAGTAGCATGTAAAATGGATAACTCATGAATGAAAAGTAATTATTATGTCAGATGGAATAAGCTGAAGCTATTAAAACCTAAAAATAAAGAACAATTTAGTTCATGATCATCCTAAAATAGTGGGATGTTATCTTGAGTACGCCAGAAGATTATTGTTTGGCATGGATAGTTTTAATGTAACATAGAGAAAGTAATAAAATGCCTTTCATTAACATGAATAAATTTATACATCCCACACAAAGTTTTGATCAACAACTAAGTTATAACCCCCTAGTAGTTATTGCCCCAATTCAGACTTACTTAAGGCAGTGGTTAAGGCTAACTGTAAAGAAAATTATGTCTTAAAAAAGGAAAGGAAAGAAAATATACATATATAGATCATCAAAGGATAATCTGTATGCGAACTTAAAATCTTTACGTGGTTACTGTGCCCTAAGTATGAGAAAGTATAAACTAATCTGTTTGTTTATTAAGTACACATTCTATACTTAAAACACACACACAAGATCTATCCTATATTGATTTTTCCTGCTTAAACATGAGGATTTTACTTTCAAGCATTTTAAACTCTAATTCCCCAATTAAGATAAAACATCTGAACAAATAATTTACTCCTATTTGTAATTAGCAGCATTAACAGTATTAATTAGCTGTAGTTAGCTGAGTTAGCACAGCTCTCAATTTCTCATGAAACAATACTGAAAAGTGGGATCTTGATTTTTAGAGAAAGGGTAGAGGGTTTGTTTATTGTATTTAACAAGAACATTGATCCCTGGGAATAAACAGTTGTTTCTGAGCACATCCTGCTTCACATGACATCTTGAGACTATGTTTAAAATTCTAGCTACCTCTGTTGCAAAAAGAACTCAAATTGGTGATGTAGACAGGATCTAGGAAAAGTCACTGATGGAGATTCCATTGCCTGTCAAACACCCAGTAATTAATATTAACTTTAGGAGGGTGGAAATGCATTTTCTTCTACAGTGCTAATAGAGCCCAGGTAAAGGCTGCTATAGTATAAATTATTTGTTCAATATTTGTTGTAAAGATGAACCTCATAGACCTCAGTTTTTCATTAGGAATGCAGGTAATAATACCTTATTGCTTTATTGTAGAATTAAAAAGGCATTTTTTGTGAAAGTCAATAGAAGAATATGCTGCAGATACTTAAAATATGTTTCTTTCCTTGACGTGCTGTAAAATGAAACCAGGTAGAAACTTTTCTCAAAAATTCTCATTTTCCATATACTTATAAAAGCAATGATGCATGCTAAAATATATAATAACAATTATTTTGCACCATAATATACAATTTATGATGATTTAAAAGAAATGCTCTTTTCATTACTCATTCCTTCCATTACAACTGTTGTCATCCCCTATGGTCAATTTTATGTCATTTCATTTTATTAATTTATGTGACAGTCTCAAGAGGATGAAAAGTGAAAAAAAAAGTGTCAGTTGCTCAGTTGTGTCTGAATCTTTGCAACCCTATGGACTATAGCCCCCCAGGCGCCTCTGTCCATGGAATTCTCCAGGCAAGAATACTGGAGTGGGTTACCATTCCCTTCTCCAGGGGATCTTCCCGACCCAGGGATCAAACTCAGATCTCCTGCACTGCAGATGGATTTTTTACCGTCTGTGTCATCCTCTATGGTCAATTTTATATCAATTTATTTTATTAATTTCTGTGACCAGTCTCAAGAGAGTACTTTTGCCCAAAGGTAAGCTGGCTTACTAGATCCCTGATTCCTCAAGGTCAGAGACAGGGCCTCACCTACAGCATCTGGATGAACCATATGAAATTGCTGATATTTAGCCAATTATGATGTATAGGAACAGTCATTAAGCCAGTCAACAAATATTTATTTTTTAAAATGTAGGGAGATAAGATAGTAACTTTACATTTAGTTTAGAGCTGGCCTAAAAGTGATGCTCCAATATATGTTTATAAGCATAATATAAACAATGCACTAAGATCATCAGGCAAATGTCTTACTTTGTGCTATTTGTTCTTGTACACTGAAACTGAAACACAATTAATTCTTTGCTTACATTATTTCATTTATATGGGATGCACACCCTGGCCACAAAAACCTATATAATGTCCATTCCACCTGACTCTTTAAGATTAAGGTCCAATGCTACCTCCTCTGTGAGGCTTCCCCGGGCATGTCCTTCTGTGCTCAGACTCTACACCTCTGCCTAGATATACACCTCAAGAACATACATAGATATACACACGTGCATAGACAGATGTATAGAATTTGTATAGAATTTACATGTAGTAAGTCTATATACATCTATGGGCTTCCCAGGTGGCTCAGATGGTGGAGAAGCTGCCTGAAATGCAGGATACCTGGGCTATACATCTATAGATTCGTATCTACTTACATCTTTACATATGTGGCTCAGACAATAAAGAATCCACCTGCAGTGCAGGAAATGTGGGTTCAATCCCTGGGTCGGGAAGACCCCCTGGAGAAGGAAATGGCAACCCACTCCAGTACTCTTTTTTTTTTTTNCTGATGTCTCAAGATACTTCCTTTGGGAAAAAAAACACTGACTTTTATTCCAGAGTTCCCTTATATGTAAATCAGATTTTAAAAATTTACACAGTAAGTCTTTTCCCACACCTTCCCACAAAGATCATATAAATTCCTGGATTATACAGAACAGAATGACAGACTTCAGGTCATGTAAAATATAAAACAATATGACAATTATTGGCCATGTTTACTTCACTAATATGTATGGGAAAAAAACTTACCAGTCTCAGAAGTCCTCACAGAAAGTATAGAAGATAATTGATCACCATGGCCAAATCTGGTATACGACCTTACAGAAATGTTATAGAGGGTGTAAGGTTTTAACGCCCCTAAAATTATGTCTGTTGTTGAGGTGTTCTTCATGAATAAGGTATTTACATTTCTATAGAGCACTTCATAGGCAACAATAATCCCATTGGGTTTCTGAGGTGGTGACCACTTCAAACTTATTTCACTAGCAGTAACATCGGTAACTTCAACATCTTGAGGTGACGATTCTGGTTCTGGGGGAAAAAACAAATATGTGTATTTTTTCATGTTTATTGCTTCAGACACTAAAGGCAGCATGAGGTAGATGACAGCAAGCATGCAACACCACTTGCTTCTTTTTATTAAAGCTGTACCTAACATTCTTACCATCTTCTGGAGTTCTCACAAAGATGTCATTTGCTTCGGACAAAGAACTTTCTCCAACAGTGGTTGAGGCAGCCACTCTCATTTTATATTTTGTGTATTTCTTTAACCCTGTAAGGAAAATAGGCCATTTGTTCAAAGTCCCTAGAATACTATTCCTGGATTAGTGCCATTTAACACAAGACTAGTGAAAATAACTTATCTGGGAGACTGGTTCTCTAAATCAGTCTCCTATAGTTCCAGTCTCCCAAACTTCCTTGGTATGAGAGCCTTCCATCTTGATGAGGTTTTAGTTCTCTCCTAAAATATCAAGGCAATGGTCTGAGACTGAAAAAACAATTTTTGGCACACTGCAAGGAATGTAGCTGATTTGGCACAAATACCACGTCAGCTCAATTACTTCAGCTGATGGTCACATCCAGTCAATCAAGCCTTCAATACGGAATTATTTTGACGTACCAGGCATAAAATTCCATAGGTCAAGTATATTCTTAGGATACCTGTGGTCTGATGACTTTATTTGCAGATAAATATAGTGAAAGAAAAACAACATTTAATGAAGTTATTTCTGCAAGTATTTTTAAAGATATCCATGGGAGCATAGCACAACAAAATCTGCAATGATGCAACATGTACCCCGCAGTGTTTAATGGCATGGAGAGATGTGCATTTTCCATCAGGATTAGAATGTCAAAACAAAATTCTGTTCTACCTGTTATGAGAAAGTTGTTATCTATAGTAGTCATCTGGAATGCTCTGTTTGTATCCAGTTCCATTGCATAAATTGTATAATGAGTTATTTTTCCATTAGGATATTCTGGAGGATCCCAATATAACAAAATAGATGAAGAACTAATATTTTTATAGTTTATAACTTGAATGGAGCTTGGCACTTGAGAAGAAGAATGAAAAATTAGTATGAATGAAAAGTATTATAATGTTCCAGAGCAATATCTGCAGGTAACTATTTCAAAGGAAATATATTCTTACCTTGCTCAAGTGTCCTAACATTGAGGACCGTTGGTGGTCCTTCTCCCATGATGGTGAAAGCAGATACACTAATCATGTGCTCAGTGAAAGGTACAAGTCTCCTGATAACGTAGGACAGCTGTTGAGCAGCAATGTCAGTGATATACTGATTCCTTGAAGTTCCTATTTGAAATCAGTTTTTAAAACATTTAACAAATATTTGGCTTTGTGATCAAAATCATTTTTGCTTCCACAGTGAAATTTTAAACCCAATTTCACAGTATCCCTTAATCTCTCCATGTAATCCCTTATATGAAAGGTAGATACATAATTAATAATAAATATACTGAATGTACTCCAGTAACATATATAGACATTTTGTGCTCATAATATAGTTTTGCTAGCTGTTATACACTATTCCAGAATAAGAGATTAGTGTTTTGAAAAAACATAACTTTCTAAAAAAGACAGGTTAGGAATTCTTTTCCTAAAAAACAACTGGGCAATAACATCAAATTGAAATATTATAAGTCAATGCTGCATTATGATATAAAAATCATGGAAATAAGATTTTATTTGGACTCAAAATTCACCACACATTTGAAAAATCCATTAATGATTTAATGCAAACATGCTTATAAAACTGCCACATTAATAGGTCTGGACAAGGATTTCAAAAAAATCCCTATTTCAAAAAATAAGTTAGTTGTTTTTTTTAACTTATTTAGACTGTGCACTTCCAATGGTGATAATTAGTGCTTTAGGCCAAAGAAAGTATTTTTTTAAAAATCTGTATCAGAAATCATGGGCCTCTTAATTTTTAGTGTCTTCTAAAAATTGTCTTCTTTGCTCAAGAAAAACATGTCAGTAAATGAAATAAGCATATATTGAATGCAATGTGATACTTTTGCCAAATTCCACCATCAATATAACATTTTAATTTGGAAGGGAACAAATACCAAATTAGAGAAAAAGCAACAAGAGAAAACCTTTTTTTCTCACTTAGCATTTTAGAAAAAACAGACAATTTAGATCTCTTTCTTCTAACCAAATATTTTTAATTCACTATATATGACATTCTCCTTATAGAAACAATAAGATCCCTTGACCCTGAAGAGTAAGTGTATACACTAATGACATCACCACGTCACTGGGGTCACCTCCACCTGTTGATCACCCCATGCACTAGAGTTGTAACTTTCTGACCTATTTACCTTCAGTGACATTTGAAAACCTATTAGTCAAAAGCTGCAGAGAGTGTGAGGCCTGTGAATGATTGGAAGATATGTTAATCCTTTCCCATCACACCTGCTTTGGCAACTGTAATAACTGATTGTCTCTGCAGCTTGGCTGGAGACTCTCGGGTGCTACTTTCTCTGGAGGAAGGTCAGATGGGTTAGGAGGGGCCAGCTCCTGCGTGTGTGGCATTTCCATTTGCCGCATGAGGTTATCCAACAGTTAAAGAAAAAAAATCTGACTCCAGCCCATGGACCATTAATAATTGGGTTGAACTCTGAGCTAAGGTTCATATCTGTGCTAGCTAGTACTGGTGGTTTAAATACATTTCACACAGAACAAAAAAATGTACCTACCAAATGTTGAAGGCTGGTCTTCAGCTCTGCCCTTCACAGGAAAGTAATTATGTGGATGACTGTTGTATATAACTGAAGCAAGTGAGTACAGGTCAGAAGACATCTCTGCTGAGCCCTCAAATAATCCTGCCATTGACTCTACTATGCTCACAGTTTCTGGAGCCATGGGGTTTATATACTGCACCTGGAAACAGATATTTGCAAAGACAGTGATGGTTACACTTAATAATGGCTTCAATCAAGTACTAGTTTCAAAAACTAGTAACTTTAAAATGATAAATTTTTTAAAGATAATATTATTTCCATGACTACTGTCTCCCTTACACTCCAAATTTTCATTCTGAAACTATTAAAATCCTGCATCATTGTAGCCCATTATGATCAATTCCATATCTTAAAGCTCCATACTGTATTAGGTGAAAAATGAAATAATTTATCTCTGACTCAAAAATGGTAAAAAAAAAAAAATGGCATGACTAAAATATTTTAACTGCTTACCACCCAATAACAAGTTGTTTAGGCCTACTGTCTTATTAAAATGTGTTTTACTTTGCCATCTACGTGTCCTCATTTGTACACCAGGTGTGAGCATTCTGCGTGACTACTGGGTATATGTCAATAATAATAACCTATAATCAAGTGAAGTTACAGACATGAACAGAATTACATGGCAATAGTTTTCAAACAGTTCCAGACAGACCTATGTAAGGCTATGGGTCTGAGGAATATTTTAGGTAATTGTGATTGTTCCAAGATGCCGTAATGTACCCCACATGAATCAAGTCCACTAAAGTAGCAAATAATGACATGAAATAAAACATCATGAGCATATTACAAGTATATACAGTAGAGTTTTATGTTAGGACAGCAAGAGAACTCTCTCCATTCTTTCCACACAGAGTAATAGATTGAAACAAAATGAAAAAATCTGAAAATAACCTAGGTTTAGATGATACCAAGACAATATTAGTAATTGTGTCGACTGTGATAATGGAATTACATAATGAATTAGAATTTCAGTATTTTTTAGGAGTCCATACTTAGTTAGGCATGTAAGAGCAAAAAGATATGAACTCTGGAATTTATTTTAAAATACACCTGCATCAACAGGAAAAATGAGAAATGGCAACAAAGACAGCATGTTGATAATTATGGAATCCAGGTGATGGGTTAATGGATACACATTATACTCTTTTTTCTTTCATTTATACCAGTTCAAAATTTTCCAAAATGAAGTATTGGGGGAAAAAAAGACAATGTTTTAAGAGCTACTATTTTTTTGTCAATTTCTTCCAGACTCACCTCCAAGCCCTTTTTTTTTTTAAGAAGATTTTTTTTCAAAGAAGAAAATCACTCTATTCCTTCCAAATCCATGTTCTTGCACCCTCAGAATTTCTAATTAATTCATAATATAGATTTTATTTTTTTTTAAATTTTGGTACACCTATCTTTTAATATTTTTTGAGTTGAGCCCAAAACAGGCTTTTAATTCCTTATGAACACAAAGCACTTAGTATTTTTTCTTTAAAAAGTAGATGCTCAGAAAAATATCAGGAAGGCAAGGAATTTTAAGGCTGCTTACTTATTTAATTAGTTACAAAGGCAGATCATTTGAATATTAACTTTTCCAAGAAATAAAACTGAGAAAAGATGCAAAGATATAGCTAATTCTCCAAATTATATTTATAAGATAAAATTATCTAAATCTTATTTCTTTACCCAGGGAAGTATTGTGATGACAAGCAGGGAGATATCAATAATATTTACTCCAAAAATATTATGATAAAGCACTCTGGATAAGGAACCATACTTGGAACAAACTAAAGATCTTCCACCTTCCAAGGCACACTTCAACTTTACTTCCACTGGGAAATCAGAGAAGGCATGAATCACAAACACATAATTCAGAGATGCTCTGGTATTCCAGTCAATAGTTTATGCCTGAGCCACACAGCTGTTTCCACTATCAATCAACCACCCTTTGAGAATCCAGTGTACAAAGCACTACAGAGGGTACAACAGGGCAATACAAAGAATTTCCCCTGAACTGTGATTTTGCATTAAATCTCACAATATTTTATACCAATGTCAGATACATTTTTGAGAGTTAAGCCGTAGTATCCCATCAATTAACTAAGTTAAGCATCTCTGTTGACAAATTACTATTCCAGCCTAAGAGGTGACTGAGTAATTTTGACTACCTGAACTTCTCCCAAATACACTGGAAGGACCCTCCCTAGCTATAAGTGATTTGAACTTATAAATTTGAACTGGTTTTGTAAAAATCCAAAAAGTTACTATCACCAAGTGTCTCATGTTGTGACTATTTCTCACACTTCGCCTCTTTAAAATAGGGATTAGGTTTTTCAAAGGATGAAAAAGAAATAATTTTAAGAGTAAAAATGATAGGAAAGAATCAGAACTTAAAGTAATGAGAAGTGGCTGAGAAATAGGAGTAGAAATGAGTGATAGAGAAGGAAATAAAGGTCTATCACAACTCCCCCAAGTTTGGCCTCATTGAGTTAGTCTAGTAGTCTCAACCCCAGCACTAATGACATTCCATGTTTGAGAATTTTTTTGTTATAGGGAACTGTGCAGGGCATTGTAGGGACCAGCCTCCCTGGTCCCTACCCACTAGAAACATATTCCCTGTGGTGACAATGAAAACTTCAGAGATCACGAAATGTCTCCTGGAGAGCAAAACTGCCCTCGATCGAAAACAACCGAGTTAGGCAATGTCACAATTCATCAACATGAAAGCCTTCTCATATGCTACCTAGGAATCTTTGGAATTGATATGAAAGAATTAGAAGTCTTCAGAGTTCAGTTTCTAATCCACCTGAATAAACCAACCCGATTCTATATGTAACAGTCTTCATTATAGCTAATATGATTGTATTTTCAAAAACTTTACTATATCTATCAATTTACACTTTATGGAAGTCTGCTCAATTGATTTAATGAAAATGTTGACTTATTCTTAAGAAATGCTTCCATATTTTATTATAAACTATAACATGATTCGTACTATTTTCAACCAGTGGTAAAAAGAATTTTATAATTAGTATATGTTTGGAAGCCTTCTAACGGAAACTGTATCATTCTGCAGGGTGACAAATCCTTAAGGCTTGATTCTGTCTATGTTCCTAATGCTCAATAAAGTAAACATCTCTAGAATTCCTATACTACTTTCGAGTAGTGTCCTCAGCCTCATTCTGGAGCCATTGGCCAAGCATTTGGCTTGCGTCCTATGTTCACCACTGACAAATATTTATATACTTGAGAAATATGTTGGATGAAAAGATGTATCCATACAAATCTCAGAAATTTGTGACACTACATAGCAAGAGTGTTTGGGGAGAAAATCCCTCAGGATTTGATCTGAAAAACAAGTACAGAAGTACAGAATGAGATCTGAGTGTGAAATTCAACTAGAGAGCAGTTAATGAAGAGTGGACTTCAGGATTTTTTAAACTTTCATCTAGGTGAAATAAGTATCCCAAATAAATGAATTTTATTCTTTGCATTGATAGAAGCAGAAAATTCATGCTAAAGGAGAAAATAATTCTGCTCAATTTGGCTCTAGTCAAACTATATATGGAATATAGTGTTCAGCTGAGAAAGAGGATCACTGATAAACTGGAAAATAAATACACAGGAGAGTAATCAATAATATGAATGACTGATGAGAAACTGAGGATATTAAGCCTTAGGGAAACCATGATGATTATTTTCAAATGATAAAAAGTTAAATCATTGCATATTGTTATTACTGCTGGAGACACCAACATTTAAAGCTACTTTGTGTCAAGTACAGTGATAAATATTTTTACCCGTGTGATATCACTTGATTCTATCCCAAAGAAAAAGATATTATCATTTCCATTTTACAGTCAGCTGTTCAAATTCATAAAACTAGTCATAGAAGAGGTAGGACTGGAATACATTTCCCTGGTTGCAAACCCCAGACTCTAAGCTACTCTAAGCTACTGTGTGGTTCTGGAGAGAAGAAATGGGATAAACTGGTAAACATTAGAGAACAAATACTTCAGTTCAAAACTGTTAAAGAACATGGTAGTTTCTTCTTTATATATGTTCCAGACCTATCATAGTGCCTGGAACTTTATAGTTACCTAAGAAATGCATGCCTGTGAGACCACAAAGAAGCATGGTTTAAAGCTTATAGAAGAGGAACTGATTACATGGTCATGGATACCCTATTTTCAGAGCTGATCAAATATTTTAGCAGAGGCTGGATCTCCAATCATTTATTAGTCATGGGATTGATTACCTTCATATATAAGCTTGGAAGTTGAAATAAAAGTCCTCAAACTCTGAGATTAAATTTTCAATGTTTTTTTTTTTTATCAAATACATGTTTAAATAGTGAGAGTAAAATCCTATACATATTTCAGCATGCTTAAATAACTCCTGTCTATTAAGACACAAACAAGTCATGAGAGGTCACTGGAAAAAATTTCAATAAGGGTGATGATATCAGATCAAACCTAGCATAGGATGATTATATTTTAATACTTTTTGAAAAGTGTCATCATCACAAGGTACGCAGGTAGCTAAAAATACAAGAGACGATGAAGGATTTACAATGAAAATAATATTTTCCTGTCTGTAGCTTTCCAACTGCAAGTCTTACTCTCTAGAAATATTTTTTTGAGATTTTGAAATCAAGTCTTTCTTTTTAACTAAGATATAATCAACATAAAACATCAAATTGCTTTCCAGTGTGCAACATAATGATTCAATATTTGTATATTTGTTGGAAGCAACATCTTTAATCATCTCTGTTTCAGTTCTTATGGTGTTACTTCTAAAATCACTAGGTAATATGCTTTACTTTTCCGTTAAGGGTCACTTAGGCTTCCCTTGTGGCTTAGCAGGTAAAGAATCCGCCTGCAATGTGGGAGACCTGGGTTTGATCCCTGGGTTGGGAAGATCCCCTGGAGAAGGGAAAGGCTACCCAGTCCAATATTCTGGCCTCTCCAGAGGCCAGAATGGACTGTATAGTCCATGGTGTCGCAACGAGTTACTTACTTCAGGCAGTATCAATTGACTTTCTGCTACAAAAGGAAAGCATTAATTACTAAAATAGATGCATATTCATGTTCCAAGTCCATTCTCATTTTTTATTTACTTTTATAGTGTAAATGCATTAATACTTGAATCTGGATGGATTGTAACCCAGAGACTGCAGTGCATAGCCTCTCTCATGATCCTTCTACCATCCTACCTCCTGCTGTTCATGCTTTTGTATAATCCCTTCCTCTTGCGGGAAGTGTGACTTTCATCCAACCAATGGACTAAGGGAAAGGCGATGGGATGTCACTCCCATGGTTATATTATACAGACTGTCCTTGCTAGCTTGATGAAGGGAATGCCATGTTGGGAAAGTTCTGTGGCAAGAAACTGTGGGGGACCCCAATGAGCTGGAGCTAAGAATAGTCTCTAGTCAGAGGGCCAGCAGGATCCAGGGCCCTCAGTTCTATAATCAAAAGGAAATTAAATCTGCCAAAAATCTAAGTCAGCCAAGAAGTAGATTCTTCCCCAGTTGAGCATCCATATGAGAACACAGGAAGGTAAGACCCTCAACTGCAGCCTATGAGACCCTCAGCAGGGAACCTACACAAGCTGTCTGGATTCCTGACCCACAAAAACTGCGAGATGATGAATGTGAATTGTTTTAAGCTTGTGGCAAACTGTTATACAATGGAAAACTAGTGTAGTAAGCTAACAAAAATAGTCCAGGCAATCCTGAGCTGGAGTGAGGACACAAAAATGGAATACAGAGGTATGAAGGTTACACTTTGAACTGGCCTTAACATTGAGTAGCTATTAAATGCTAAGTATAACCAAAGTCAGAGGTAATTCCAAGATTCCAAGCCCTCACAAAGATAATGGTGCCATTATCCAAAAAGAAAGACATCAGACATATAAAAATGCCACTAAAGCCTCCCAAATGCTTCGACAATGACTTTCAGATCAGAGATCTGTGATGTGACCAATCCAAGGGGATAGGGAATTCTAAGCCTGTTATTTCATATCTGGGTTTCAATTCAGTCTCCTTCTGACCTTGTTATTGGTCACTGAAACTATCAATTACCCTTACAGACTTTCTCCTTCTGTCCCACAGGAAAACTAATAGGTCCCTATCACTGTCCCAGGATTTCTGTCTACCTCTACCGTCTCCTCCTTCCAATCAAGAACCAAGTCCTATTGTCTCAAAAAAGATGCTTGTTCTGCTCTGTTTTATGGGGGTAGATGAGTTTAAATGTGATGCGTCCTGGCAGAACTTCACCACAAATGATTGTAATTAGGGATGCAGAGTGTCAGAAAAATCATCATGGAAAACACGGTGAAAGAGTCATGCAAATAGGAAGCAGTGACTGAAACTGTGAGGCTGTCAAAAGGAAGTGGCTGAAGACAGAACTCTCAGGAAGGAATTAGAAAGTAGTAAAAGAGCTAGCTTTCTTAAGTATTCATTTGTCATAGTACAAGGCCAAGTATTTTTGCAAACTTGCAGTATATGCCAGTGGACCGAGTACTAGGGAGAAAGTGGTTGTGTCAAAAGCTGGAGAGTTGGAGGTAAAGGAATGAATTTTGGAGGACACAGGGAAGATGAGGATGGTTAAAAACATAGATCCGCCTTATTTGACATGTAGGAGATCACTGGTAAATTCTTTTTTTTTTTTAAGTTTGGAATTTGTCTTTTTTTTTTTCTTTTTTTATTTATTTTTATTAGTTGGAGGCTAATTACTTTACAATATTGTAGTGGGTAGTTGTAGTGTATATTATCTAGGGTGAAACAGATCACCAGCCCAGGCTGGATGCATGAGACAAGTGCTCACTGGTAAATTCTAACAAGACTTCAGGGATTTCAAAAATTCTTAGGACACAGTGTGGAGGCTATACTCTGAAAAGTTAAAGAGTGAATAGAAAATTCCTTATCCTACACCAAGGAAAAGGATCTACTAAGCCAGAGGTTTTTTCTGTTATCTCCTTTACTCCTCACCATGCCCTTCAACATAAGGCAGGCATATAAGCTCTACTTTAAACATGAACGCAGCAAGTCTCCAAAAGTTGACTTGTCAAAGGTCATGGGGTGAGGAAAAGGCAGAGACAGGACTAGGACACTAGCTCATCTGAACTTAGAGCTTCCACCACATGTGTCTCCCCACATCAGCCTCCGGAAAGGTAAACCCAAACACCAATCACACGGGAAAGCAGAAATATCAATAAGGGCCTGATCTAATGAAGAGATACACAGTCACAGAAATAAAGTATGATGTCTCCTTTTATTGCTACTGAAGGAAGCTAATATTGTGTCCCAGTGAGGGTGAAAGGTCCAATGCCATGATTAATAATTACAACAGGTCACAGTTATTCAGGTCACCAAACTTACCATACATCAGGTGGAGTTCTAAGCTCTTCACACATTAATCCATTAAATCCTCACTAGTAACTCCATGTTACATAGACTCTTAGAGTCCCTATCTTAAAAATGAAACAAGTTCAGAGAGTTCAGGTCTACTCTTTCAAGGTTAAATCATCAGTAAGGGCAAAACCAAGGTTTAAACCCAGCATTCTGTCTCCTAGGTCCATGCACTTAACCTCTCTGCTATAAAAGAAAGGTCACACTAAGTGACCAAATTAGGAATATAAACCCAGATTTGTATATGCCAAAGCTCATGTTATCTCTATTACGTCACAGGGATTGTGGATCATATCACAAGAAGTCTTTCCAGAATCTCTTAGTTTCAAGAGAAAAAGAGGTGTAGCTTATCACTCAATAGATATCATTAGCAGAAGTGGGGGATCTGCCACACAATCCTAAAAAGTGAAGCATCTAATTTAAGGCCTTCTCAGCAGGAGCAGAGGGTTAAGTTTTTGCCCTGTGCCTGAGCTGTCGACTAAAGTATCAGAGAAAGCACAACTCAACATCTTTTACACAAGAGGAATGGAGTCCACATTGGATTAAACTGTAACCCTGGGCCAGAGGTCAAACAACTTGTACTAATGAGTCCTGGTTGGCCAGAATGCATTAAGCACACAGTAAGGTAACGTTTAGGTGGGTGTCAGAAATGGAGGAAGTCTGGGACTAGGAATAGAATGGACAATATACGTGGAGAAAAACAAGAGCACAGCTAGAAGAAGTGATGATTCTGGACCGAACTCGTGGAACCTCATTGCTGAATAACCAGAGGTCGGGCCTCCAAGTTGCTGTGTGTGCTACACTCACTGGTCTGAAATAGATGTATTTTTCGTGAGCCCCAGGAACCACCAATATTTGGATACCATCAGTCTAAAGTCTTAGAAGGATTTCCCAGGTGAACAGCTGGCTGGATGAGGTGAACGAAGACAGTGAAGGAAAAATTAGTGCCGCCTATATTGGGTTGGCAAAAATGTTTATTTGGATTTTTCCATTGGGTCTTACAGAAAATCCTGAACAAACTTTTTAGCCAACACAACACTTTCAAATAGAAAGAAAGGGGGGAAAGAAGGCTTCCAGTGTGACTGAAAGCAAACATTGTCCTCTTATTTTATACTTATGATGATTTCATCTCTTTTATTTGATTTCTTTAGTCAAATGTATATTGCTTATTTTTAAATGAGGTAGCTTTGAGAAATCTGGCTTCCTAAGACTAAGGAGGACAAAACCATTTGTCAACAGCAATTACTAAAGTTATTGTGCCTTTCTTTGGCAACTATTCCAAATTGCAAGCACAACCTTAGGAGGAGTATTTAAATCTTAACAGGAGCTTCCAAACAATTCATTAACTTTATTACCATAATAATATTCACTTATGGAAGTACCTTTAGTCCTGCTTAATTGCCCAATTAACATTTTTCATATGCTGAAAAAGAATAATAGCACTTAACTAATAATAAAGGTCTTGAAATGAAATATGATGAGCTAGGTTATCAGCATAGCTAAATTTACTTCATTTTGTACTTTGAAGCTTGTCAAATATTTTATGTTTGCATGTTGGCAAATCTCCCAAGTTATGTGGGCCAAAACCGGGTAGAAAGGGCTCAACAAAATAAGAAATTCAAGTGCAGTACCTCATCTTTTCCAATGAGCAGAGTATCTTCTAAAAGCACTCTTGTCTGGGAAACTAACACTTTCACTCGATATTGGTTAATAATTCCATTTGGTTGTCGTGGTTTCTTCCAAGTAATTCTTATTTCTGTGGCTTCTACTTCTGCAACCTGCAAATCAAATACTGCACCTGGAACTAAAAAAGAGAAGAAGAGGAGGGAACTTTAAAAATACATTCTCAAATTTCTAAAAATTACTGAAGTCAGTTCATGACTGAAGACATATAAGCAATTCTATTAGAAAACAGACTAAAACAATTTACTAATTTATTAACAATTGGATTTGTATCAGATCCTTTAAAAACACAGATAACTAATGTTAAATTTCTATACATTGTTCTCCACATGTACACAAGAAATAGAGTAACGTGGAATAATTTTCTCAAATCAAAATCATAACGTTTGTTCAGAACACATTAATTTCTAAAAATAACTTTCCAGGGAAAGTTGTTTATGACTGACTGATGAATTCCCAGTAGAAATCTTGAAGGTTTTACAAAAATTAAAACATACCAAAAGATAATATGTGGAATACTCTGAATGCAATTACATGTAGCTGGTATACTTTATCAGGGAATTTTTAATTTATGTTTGAAAAATTAATTGATTTTTGTCTGCTGATTTTATAAATTATGTGAATCTCAAATTTCAGACGCCCTTATTCTTTGCAATAGTAAAGAAAAAGAAGGAAAAACAATTGGTTTTAGATAAGGCACCAAGTACTTAAATTCCGGTTAGAAAGTCACCAAGTGGTGATCATTTTGTAATGTATAAAAGCATCAGATTACTAAATAAATACATAAAATAAATGTATGTATGTCAAGAGCAACTACTAGGAAACCTCCCAGTACAATAGGACTAATCAACCAAGAAAAATTCTACCCTGGGCACTTGTCCACTTTTAGTTTATATTTCATTGTGATTATAAATAGCCAATTCCTCCCTCCACATTTAGTCTCCTTATCTATTAAATGGGTGTCATTAAATCCTTCCTATCACTATACAAGATTACAATAAGGAATAAGTGATTCAAAAGACTTTATAACATGTTGGCTGAAGAAAGAGAAAATGTGGCACAAAAATACTGTTCTTTATGATTAGGATGTGGTCAAACATTAAATTTATTTCACTAAGGTAAAATATTTCACAGATTCAGCGAACTCCAGTTGGAAGAAAGACATATTAAGGGTAAAAACAAATGAAGAATGACTCTATCTTCTTTAAGATAACAGAAAGAAATTTATGTCATAACTCCCCAAAATATTATTTATAATTAATGAACCTAATCAAGCTTAAGTAAAACATGAAATAATGATGTAAAGTAATTAGCCTTCAACTAATAAAAATAAATGGAAAAAAAAAAGAGTTGGGTTTTTCAGTCTCTATTATAAAGAAATCAGTACAAAAAAAATCTCCTTAGATATTTTAATAAATATTTCTAAATGTTTGTTGACTAGTGAATGACTAGATAGCTGAACTCTGGATTAGAAGCCTATTATTTGATTATTGCAGTCAAGTCTCCAGAATCCAGTATGGGTAAAATGTGTGCTCAAAATTAAGAGAGAAATGTAACATGGGTACACTTATAACTTGTCAATTCTTTCAGTCTCCTTTTCTAAAAACATTTCGGTGTATCTCTATATAGAAGGATAATTCTTTACCTTGATTTCCCCACAGGAATTCTAATCTGAAGGAAAAACACTTTAATCTTTGAAAGATGGAGGACGTGTTCTAAACTAGAACCTCACAACAAATGATTTATTCATTTGTCATTCAGCAGACTGAGGACTCATCGTATGTTCACTGTTCTAAGCACTGAAGGATAGTGGGAGGAAAGAGACAGATAAAAAGCCTTCGCATAGGTCACCTCTTATGTAAGTTTTATTTAATTATTTATTATTGTTATTTATTTAATCATTTATTTAATCATTTATTTAATAATTATTTATTATTTATTATTAATTATTGTTGCTAAACTTATGTTTTTTTCATATTTATCATATTTACATCATTCAAGAGTAGAGAACTTTCCAATTAACCACAGAGTATGAAAACAACACACCTATTTAAATGGCAAAGCTCCATTCCACCTTTCTTTGACATTTTTGGGGTTGCTATGTAGATGAAGTCTTAGTCAGTACTGCATGATATAAATCAAAGAAGAGATCTGACATTTTCCCATCTAATTTGAACTCATGTAGAATCTCAATTGAAGCCAGTTTAATAACTACATTGATCAGAGTCATCAGATAACTAAACCCTACCTACTATAAAATAACTGAAATGGTCAGTACCGTTTGATGCAACAAAAATTACCCACTACAGTATATTTAAATTACATTGTCTCTTATTCTGTTAGCCAAACCTAAAAATACTAGACATTGTTTATCTTATAATTTATATTTTTCAATATAACTTAATAAGTACTGCCCCATAACACTAATGCCTAAAAATCGCAATCCAAAGTTAAGTGGTTCTCTATTATCCTAAAAATGTACCCCAAATTTGTGTAAGAACAACTGTAAGGCTATCCCTTTTTTATAAAAGAAGAAAAAGCTTAGGGGATAAAGGAAATGAAGGAGACAGCATTGTATCTTGTCTTTGGAAAGACACTCGATATGTTACACCACAAATTCTTATGGGGAAACCTGAGAAGTGTGGATTAGATCAAACTCCTTTCATATTGATACCAAATTAACTAAAGAAAATCAAACACACAAGGCAATTATTCATGGTTCAGCATTAATTCTGAAGGTGTTATCTATGAGGATGATCTATGAATCATTCTCAGGTCAATACATCTATAAATTTTACTAATAAATAGGAAACAGAGTATACATATAATTGGTAAAAAAAAAAATCCAAATGATTAGGTGTACCCCAAATTTGTGTAAGAACAACTGTAAGGCTATCCCTTTTTTATAAAAGAAGAAAAAGCTTAGGGGATAAAGGAAATGAAGGAGACAGCATTGTATCTTGTCTTTGGAAAGACACTCGATATGTTACACCACAAATTCTTATGGGGAAACCTGAGAAGTGTGGATTAGATCAAACTCCTTTCATATTGATACCAAATTAACTAAAGAAAATCAAACACACAAGGCAATTATTCATGGTTCAGCATTAATTCTGAAGGTGTTATCTATGAGGATGACCTATGAATCATTCTCAGGTCAATACATCTATAAATTTTACTAATAAATAGGAAACAGAGTATACATATAATTGGTAAAAAAAAAAATCCAAATGATTAGGAGTATACCTGTGGCTTATTTATGTTGATGTATGGCAAAAACCATATCAATTTTATAAAGTAATTATCCTCCAATTAAAAAAAAAAACTCCTAGAAAGCAATGGAGACAATTGGCATTGGGGTAAAGAAAATACATTCAAATAATTTTTGCCCTTATCTAGCAAATCAAACTTCCATTGGAAGTGAAATTTGTAAAAATCTACTGAATCTGAAAATTTGAAAAATAAAAATCATGGAGAATCCTTAAAATTACAAAGTTGATAGTTTCTAAGTGATCTCCCTATAAAGATGTTACTATACTTTGCAGAAAATAGCAAATTGAAATTACTGAGGACAAGTCTTCACTTCAATAGTCTATTTATGGGGGAGCAAGGGATTTCAACACTTTTTTTGCTTTTAAGACATGATATAAACTTCCTTAAAAGATATCTGACACTAGTCATAGAGAAGTTTTAGGCGATTTTGAAGCAGCAAAATTTACTTAAGGTTTTTTTAACCCACGTAAAAATAACAAGAAAAAATCTGTTGTCAATGCTATATTCAGCAGATTGTTTCATTTTGGAATGGCAACTATGATATTTTGTAACATTGGGGATTATTATAATTTTTTAAAAAACCATCTCTTTCTCATGCCTAAGTAGAAATCTGCTCAGTAAAATATTAAGGGATATGCAGAAACATTATGAAAAACACAGGGTAACTGCTTTCACAACATCATGTTGATTTTGATAGATAATAGACCATATCATTCTCAATATTAACGAAATCAGCCCCGTTATAATGTGACAACATGTATTTTCTAAACAAAATCAATTCAATATTTTTCTATGAATATCTGGAGATTTGTTAGAACCTTGATTGTTTTAAAATATATTAATTTAAAATCTGGCCCTAATTGATTCCCTAATTAGACTGTTATTTTTTAAATATGAAGAAGAAAATTGAGTAACTAATCAGAATATGAAGAACCTGTTATATTAAAGAATAAAAAGAATACTAGAAAATTAAGGTATCAATTTTAATTCAAAGTGTGTATGTTCTAATGAGTTATTTGATTGTTCTCATATAGCTTAAAGATTCCTTTATGGCAAATTTTTAATCAGTGGGACCAGGATTAATTAGTGTGTCTGAGCATACATTCACTGCATTTGCCCCAGTATTTTACTGAGACCCCTTTGGCTGAACTATTCCTTGAGAACTGCACAGAGGAAGCAGGCGGGCAGAGGAAAGAACCAGCCATGCCTGCCCTTCCAGCAGCGAAGGCCACCTTAGTTTCCAGGGGTTTCTGAGAGCCGCTTGGATGTGGTGAGCAGGTGATGAGTAATTCAGAAGGCAATAAGATAAACCTGAGGTAAATCACTGGGTATACGGGGCAAATAGAGTCATCTATTCAAAATAACTTGGCATCAAAAACAAGCCATGTGAAGTACATTGAACAACGTCCTTAAATATTCTATTTATTATTTTGTCAATTAAAAAATAAAGACATAAAGAAAGGGAAATAAATGTTTAAGTGATATCCTAAATAAAATGGAATAGTATACAGCAGTGTATTATCTGGGCTTGCCTGGTGACACAGATGGTAAAGAATCTGCCTGCAATTCAGGAGATTCAGGTTCAATCCCTGGGTCAGGAAGATCCCCTGGAGAAGGGAATGGCAACCCACTCCAGTATTCTTGCCTGGGAAACCCTAAGGACACAGGAGCCTGGTGGGTTACAGTCCTTGGGGTTGCATAGAATCGGACATGACTTGACACCTAACACACACACACACACACACACATTATATTACCTAGTTTCCTGTTTTGGTCAAATGCTGTAGGCCAAGAATGATGACAATAAACCAATTATCTTAAATTGTGGACTCAGTGTAGGAGCCCCAA